TAGTTAACGTTTAAATAAAGTAAGCCTCTCAGCAGCTTTACATCACAGTTAAATTATTTTGTATGAAATATGAGGATTTCAATTCATATTTTGCATCTTAGCTCTGGATTTTACTTATGCTTCTGCATATAACTCAAACTGGAGTCTAACTTTCCTACTAAAAATAATGTAAGAGGTTAGCATTTCCTATCCATTTTTTTTCTTGAATTATTGTGTAACACTGATTAACTCCAGATCAGTTCCAGTCCTGTGTCAGATTGAAGGATCTCTGTGCGGCTTGAGACAGATGTGTGTTTACAAGATGTGTCTGGGAAAATCCTGGGGACTTCAGCGTTTCTGACCCCTCTGGCTGCAGAATGTGCACAGCTATTCCCCCTGTGTAAAATAGAAGTTTATTATCCGTTAATGATGAGGAAACAGCAGAAAGCCAGTCAAAAGTTTCTGTTCCTCGCCACCGAGTTCATATATAACACATGTTCTGGTCTCATCATGGTAAATACTTTTATTTTACTGTGTGTCTATATATATATATATATATATTAGTCCAGTAGACAAGAAGTAAAAAACAAAAACGGAGTATTGTTCGTATGTCCAATATTATATTAGTCCAATAAGAAAAGTATCATTGCATACTGCAATACTCCGTGTTTGTTTTTTCTTTTTATATCTATCATTTCTTAAAGTGACACTTAACTCAGGAGTTTAAAAAATGCATTAATTCAAGTACAAACAACAAAAATGTAACTAATTTGCGTGTCACTCGGCTGTAGAGCCTCAAATTATTATGGACTACAATCTCAATACAAATTAGTGACCTATACGGGAGATTGTAGTCCATCACGGGAGCGAGCTTGGAGCGGTGACTACTTTACAACACACACAGACGATGAGGAACAAAAGTAGCCACCCTCCAGAAGGAAGGACAGTGTCAGCACCAATTCAGAGATGATTTGAGGGTCTACAGCCGACTGATACACAAATAAGATACATTTTTGGTAATAATGAAGGTACTTAAATGCATTTTTAAGATTTAACTCCTGAGTTTAGTGTCCACAGCAGACCAGCTGGAAATGTTAGGTTGATAGTGGGCATGCCTGCACTGCCTGCTAATATTAGAACCAAATTATGCAGTATCTATGGGTGTTCCCCATGCTGCAGGTCAGTCCGGTTCATATTTCAGGCACTAGAAGAAGAGGGAAAGGCTTCGGTTGCTTTATACATGCTTTGGGGAGTGGAGTTGTTCTAGAAATACATTGGCAGTTTCAGTGTTACATTCTTCAAACAACTCTATAGTATGATAGAACCAGAAACTGATTGCCCAGAAAACGACAAGCCCTCACAGGTAGTTAGTTATTAGTTATTGTAAGTGTTGAACACATAAAAATTTGGTAGACTGGAGGTCAATTCACAAAAAACTAAGTTAAACAACATGATAATGCATTAAACAGTATCTCTTGGGGACTCTTTTTGGTGAGCTTGTGCTCCAGGATTCGCACACCTACTGTGATAATTCTGGCGCAGTTCCACTCTTCGTGTTGGATTTTTTAATTATATTATTAAATTTGGGATAAAACAATAGAAGGTGCTGGATTATCCTGTCTGCCTACTTACCTAAATTTTGCAGCGTCGGTGCTGCTGGATTGTTTGGGTCAAATCCTTTTCCTGCTGGTTGTGGCTCCATGTGGGATCCTTTATGACTTCTAAGGGACCATCTTTTGAGAAACAGCCCCAATAAGAGTCCATGGAGATTGACCATGCAGGATTGTTCATTGTTCAGAATAAGTTACAAGCAGGGTGTAAATGTTGCAGCAGCCACAACAATGGTATGGATGTAAGTATATGTCTGGGGAGGAGGAGGGTAGTTTAGGTTAGGGGAAGATAAGTGTACTTGCCAACTTAAAGGATACTATACATACAGTTATTGCAGTTATTGTCATTACTTGTTTCCTTGCTGATAGCACAATTTTCTCCCACAGGCTTGAAGTTAAACCTACTACAAAAGAAAAAGAGATCACTAGCACACAGAAGAAACTGCCAGCCATTACTACTGTCACTGTGACCATCTCCCCAAGCCCTGCTGATAAGGAGAATAAACCAGTTCCTTCTATAACAACCCCTGCCACACCAGTATCGGGGGCCACAGGTAAAACAACAAAAAACTTGCTGGTCAATTTTCTAGCAATGTTATTGGATGTCATTGCAGTGCCAGATGCAAGGAGGCTTTTATCTCTTATATAGTATTGTCTGAGTAGCTGGCAGTGAGGCCACCTATATAGTGCACCTCTACCTTAGCAAGGAGGCGCAGGTAGAGATAGATGTATTATTGTGAATCTGCACTCACTGTCCGGTTCCTGATCCAGTACATACCTCTGATTTTGGATTGATCTTTCAATCTTCAAAGGTTTCCTCCTAGGCTTTAATGGATCCCATACTGATATTTGATAGATATAGACAATTAAACGTTTCTTGGAAACAAAGTTGTGGTAAACTCTGTTAGATTTTGGGAGAACCCAACCAACCAGCCTTGCCCAACTCCAATAAGTAAAAAATTATGTTTCACAGCCAGGTCCAGATACCAGTAATCATTGAATGCCTTGACAGATTTGGCACATCAAAGCTTACTCAGAAGTCTGCGAGTATGGATTTGTGCCTGTGGATGATGCTTCATGGAACTCTGTAGCTTTGTGCTGTTTGTCTGTGGATGGTTTGAATAAAAAGCTGGCTGGTTTCTGGGCTTGGCAGTGGAAGATCAATTTTAACACAGTGCTGAGTGTAGTCTGTAAAATAATCATGCCCCTTCCCAACCCTTTGATTATTTCCTTGTGAAAAAACATTGGGATCTTTAAAGACGTTATCCATTTAAAATTTAACAGTTTGTGTAGGATGAAGAATATGTGTAAGACTATGGTCAGTCACACGTGATACTGCAAATCAGCGTGGTCCCGTCGTCCGCATTTTCAGGAAACGCGATAGTGCACATGTGTGCAAAGACGCACTGACGGCTGGCACGCGGGATGTGATGAGCCTCCCCTGAAGGATTGGCCTATATTATAAACCAGTCTGCCGTGCTTTCAATTGCTGAACGGTCTTTTAGTTAGTGTTGGTGTTCCTGTTGCTCTATCCATTTGCTCACTTCTGGTTTTTGACCCAGATTACCTATGACTGTTGATCGCTACCTGCCCTTGAACTCGGCCTGTTCCCGAATTCTGCCTACGCCTCCTGCCCTTGCACTTCGCTGCCCGACTTTTGTGACCCTTGGCTCGTCTGGCTACATTCCAGCTCTCCATCTTGGTACCGCATTGTCCTCCTGGCTTGACCTTGGATCTGCCGGCCCTGCTCTTGGATCCAGTTCCTGGACTGGACCCGGCACAGTGTCTGCACACCTATTGGCACTCACATTTTCCAATCAATTTTGGGGATCGTGCACCTATAACCAAGGAATCCCCAGGATTACAGGAAACAGAGACACAATCCTCAAATTAATTGGAACATTTTTGCATGAGTGCCAATAGGTGTGCAACAATTGTAAGCAGGGCAGACTGGTTTGTATAGGCCAATCCATCATGGGAAGCTCGTCAGCACGTGTTTGTGCATATGCGCACTAGCACGTGTTTCCAAAAAAAAAAGGGGAAGACAGGACCACGCGCATGTGCAGTATCACATGTACAACCGGCCATAGCCCTACAATATGAGATGAATGTATATAAAATATCTAGGCTTATAAAAAATAATACCCATGCAGCCTTAATATGAGTTTTATTGGGGTGAAGTTCCTCTGCTAATTTCCTCACTTAGTTGCTCCTTATATTAGCTTGTCTGATATATGTTCTGTATCTGTTTTTAATATGGAACCCTGACAATCAAGCAAACATGAGGAGATTGTCAGAGGAACCTCATAGTGCTAAATGTAAATAACTATGCTTACAGTGCATGAGCCCTAAATCCTATTAGTAGACGAACAGACCGCACTATCCAGAGAATTCCAATACTTCAGACTTTATTGAAATTCACAGCAAACCCAGTATAACAGTGAATAAAAGTGTGTAAAGCAACAAATACCAGCACTGCACACCCCCAACCAACTACAACCTCTAAATCCTATTGTTTGTGCTGGGAACTTTAGTTTGCTGTTCATTTAATTCTTAGTTAACTCCACTTCACCGTTTTTATTGTTCGATGTATTTGTATTCATCGTTTTAGAAACTGATTAATATTGAACATGCGGTCATTTGACAGAGGCAGTAGCGGTAAGCTTGTTGCCTAGGAATGAACTTGTATAATTTGTTCTTGTCATGTGTATGTGCAGTATTGCATGTTCAGTACTTGTGTGTTTTGCTCCTGCATGTGTGTGAATTAAGACACTAAAGTGGATACATTGGTCACAAGTGGCGCTGGTAGTTCTTTCGTCGACGTAGCCTAAATGTGACCTAAGCATCTGCTGAACATTGAGAAGAAACTGATCTATTGTGACTTCATTCATAAACTGGTGGCACTCCTGGGATCTGTTCACTAAAACCTGATATTGCTATACTGTATTGGCTGTAGGCTGGCAGGTTGAATCTCCCACATTTTTTGGGTGACACTGGTGATTATCCTGCAGGTGGCTTTGTCTTTGAGTCTCTTCATGACAATGTTACAATGCCATATTTCTATGAGAAGGTTACATTTGGATGTCTAGACTTTTATTTTTGCAGCTCGCTGTGTTTGTTGGATGCCATGCTAACAAAATCTTCACGTGTTATCTCTCACCTCCCAGCCCCCCTAACAGGATGCCTATCTTCTCCTAGCAATGTAGTTCTATTGGATGTGCTTCCAAAAGACAAGTCTGTGGTCATGTACCAGCATGTGCCTGCACCTCTTGCAAAACATGTTCTGATGTCTTGGTTGGAAACTCTTTTCCTTGCGTGCTTTCTTTTGCTCTGTTTCTGTTATTGTCTTTGATAAAATAGGTTGTATCTGATAACATGTGTGAGCATGAGGGGTGTTATTCAACGGTTTCATTCCTTACGTCAGAGTAGACTTCGGTTTTCACTTTGCACCCTTTTGAAGTTGTTGTTGCTGCTACATTCTTAGGCATGCTTTATTAGATTGTACATGTTCTATTGCTGTCTTATGCTGGCTGTGCAATCTTGTCTGTCTATCCGCAGCAGGATAAAGATGTAGGAAAGCAAATAGCTAATTGAGTCATGTGATCTTTTATCTACAGCACCTGGATCAATACATGTCTTTAGCTGTGACTCATTTAATAATTGGCCTTTATTTGTATCAGACACCAGTAGGCTGGTAAAATAAAGAGTTCAGAAAAGATTTTAGAGGTTTAAAGTATACGTCAACCCTGTCTATTTTTCTGTATGGCATCATGCCTCATTCCATATAGTTTTCTTAAAGTGGACCATGCTCGAAAATTGAATGGTTCACTTACTTGGTTAGACTTCCCTAACCCATCCCTACCTTATCCCCACTTAACCTAAAGTGCCTAGATTGGGCTGATGTCATCATCCATCCAGCAATATCTATGGGAATTCTGTGTAGCCCAAATCTTGGGAGAAGTCACTACTTCGCTGTGCCGAGATTTGGGGTACTTGGCATTCTCAGGAATATCTCCCGAAGGATGCTGGCATCACCCTGTGCAACACAGAAGGTCAGCAGAAAGGTAAGTATTTTATCTAACTTTTCTCTCCTCCAAATATATTTTTTTTCATTTCTTTTGCAACAGATTAAGATGGGAAGGGGCCCTTGCTAATTAAGCGGACCTTGCACGGAGTGCAAGATCCGCTTTAAAAAACTGTGCCGGTAATATCACTTTCTGGTGCAGACTGGCAACGGTAAGCCACTGCCTCGCATATAGCAGCAACGTTGTCAACCTGCTTTGCCATTGGGCTACTTAGTTCTATTCTATGCAAGAATTTGAATAACATTTTTTAGATTATTATAACTGTGCAAACTTACCTATGATGTTTTTCTTTTTAACTTCTTTTTCTAAACATGCTCACTTTGTCTAAAAGTCTGACAGTTGTTGCCCTCTCTTTTGCCTGATCAGCATGTAACACATGCCATTTCCCAGGTTCTGAGTGTGCAAAACCTTATCAACACCATAGTCAAGAGGAACAAAAATAACTACGGGACTTTGGTATTTGATAGCGTTATGCACTCTCATAAAAGCTAATGATTAGGTAGGAGGGCGCAGGAGTGCGTGGATAAGCTTCCACACTACCAGGAACTATTGGCGCCTTGACCATCGGAACGGTCCTAAATGCAGGGAGAATGGCAGGGCTTGGAGATTGGTGAAGGTATGTGCAGATACCTCTAGGGGTCTCTACTTTATACTTCCCAGCAGTACTTTTTCCTCTTTGACAAAATGACTTGAAAGTACAACTAAAGCCCAAGTTTGACAGTGTAAATAAGTACCAAATGTGATGCACAAGCCTCCTAAAGTAAAGAAAAAGCTTGTTGTTTGTGAATTGGATTTGTGAAGTGCTTGTGAATTGGAAATTACAATGCTGGTAGCAATGAGAACACTGCAGGTGCAGCACATATTTTTTAACGGGAGTTCATGGTTCTACTGGGAGTTTCATGTCTGACACGTTTTGCTGATAAAGATATTAGGGTTTATGCAGGCACATCATTAACATTTGTTACATTGTTGTGCCTTGATGCACTCGCACGACAGTCCATATTCATCTCTGTGGTGAACAGAGATTGACTGTATCTACAGCATAGATCAGTGCTCAAATTATAATCTATGTTAAATACAGAGACGTCATAGTAGGCTGCCTTTCTTGGATAGCTGATATGCATCTTGGGTGTCAGGGCTTGATGTACTGTACTTGGATGTCTATGCATGAACCCTAAACTGTGTTTTGGCATTCCCTCTTTTTAGAGTCTGCCAATGCAGCACCACCAAAAAGAAAACTTTTAGCACCAAAATTAGACTTGATTAATGACTGGCCCAAGCCTGAGCAAAAGTGGCAAGACAGCATTGGCACCAATGAAGATGGAGTACCTAGGTGGCGGTCTCATGGGACGTCAAGTTATGAAACCTTCAACAATACAGACAAGAATAAAGATAACCTCTCTGGTAAGTGCAAACAAGATCATGTGGTTGTGTTCGCTACCTGTGCAACAATTGTTGATGTACTAATGTATACAGAGCGGCAATAATTTGTATCTAATTGGGGTTCAGTTTTTAAAATCTCATGAGTACCCTGGAAGCATGACCTTGCCACTGGAGTTCCTGGTCTCACCCTGCCACAGTGTTATTTGTCCTGCTGTGCTAGTGAAGTCTATATGGCAGTGCTGCATTATGTGTAATAAGAAAATATATGGAAAATCCAACAGGGGCTGATTAACGCTCCTATCCCTCCTATCTTCTCCTACCCTGTCAGGTGACTTGAACTGTGATCTCTTATGGAGAGATAATGTTACTGCAGTCAGCAAGAAGAAGCTGGTGCATGATGCCATTTAGAGGTCCAATCCAGCACTAAAATATAAGTTTTCAGTTGACTGAGTTTCTAAATATCCAGCTAAGGCTGGTGGAACCCAAAACAACAGGCACATATGATCCTTAAAGGAGAACTATGAGGTGAGTGCTTTTCACTCACCTCATAGTTCTAGCCGACCTGTGACAATGAGACTGTCACAGGTCGGCTCAGTAGATCGGGAGGTGAGCGAACACATACTAGCGTTCGCTCACTTCTCGATCCTGTCACAGCTCTCTGCTGGATTTCCCCCGCTCCGATCCTCCAGCGCTGACTGGCTGATACACATACTGTCGCTCGCTCAATTGCCGCTCATCTCCCTGCAGAGAGTGGTGACTGCCAGTCAGCGCTCCCCACAGGGATTCCCCCCCTCCCCTCTACGATCCTCCAGCGCTGACTAGAGGAATGGACGGGGGAGGGGGCGGGCACAGCTGGCTCTGCCTCTAGATAGGAAGAGCCCGCTGTCAATCAGCCAGCTGGGTGGATCTCAACAGTATTGTCGGGATCCGTCCCGGCGGCGGAGCTCTCAGTATATAGCGAGCAATAGCCCGCTATATACTGAGCTTTGGGTCACGGGAGGACGTTCGTATATGTTCTCCTGTGACCCTAAAGAGGACTATAGGATAAAAAGGTTACCCCATAGTTCTCTTGTAAGGTACTTGAATGTGTTTAACTCATGATTATTATACAGGATTTATATAGCACCAACAGTTTGCGCAGCGCTTTAATAATGATCAATATAAAGAATATCTGTAACATAGGAGCTCTTAAAACTCTTAAAACTCTTTTGTTTATCTATGAATGGAGTTCAGCTTTAAACAGTACATGGGACAATTGCCAGCCAGTGTCAGACAATTAGGAAGGCGTGTCCGAAATTCTGTTGTTCCCCCTCTGATAAGTTGGTGTGCCTCCTTCTCCCAGCTCCCGGCCCCTCTCCATTGACATAAACTTGTAATGTCAGCAGAATAGACGTTACATTGTCATGCAGTTCTCCACAGACAGCTTGTCCTCAGGGCAGTTTCATCACATAAAGTGGCCTCCCTACCCATATGCTGTTTTGATTTAATAAAACTTTCCTGGAGTTCCCAGCAGTGATAATTAGACTTACTGCACACGTGTTATTTATAACTGTCATGTACAGAGGAATGTGTGAGCTATAATCATTGTGTCAGTGAGGCATATGATCTCAGCAGTGGGACACGTTACGCAAAGTCTGCCGCTCCTCTGTGAATCACACTAATGACACAGACAGTAGAAAGTCGTTTTGTCAGGTGTGTTCCTTTAGACTTCCGCCTTAGAGCTTAATTTAGAACCCATTTATTTTTCCCTGACTTCCTTGAAAATACAATTGTCTTAAAGGAAATCTGTTGTGAATACATATGGAGGCTGCCATTAGTGACCTCTTTCTGAAAATACTGGTTGCCCGGTCATTTCTGCCTGCAATACATTGAGTGACTAAGCTGGAACAAGCACGTAAGTTAAAGTAGGAACGTCTGATCTGCATCCTTGTTCCAGGTAATGTATTAACACCTTGCCACAGGCCCCTTAAAAGTATCATAATGGCGTGGGTGGGCTCCAGATACTCTGCTTGGTGACAGTCATTCACAGCAATCTAATGATTGGGAGCCTGTCCCAGAGTCCGAATGTAAAAAGTAACAGTGGTCGGACGTTAAAGCCCACCTTCCGGCTCCCGCATATATGCATGAACTGGCCAGGAAGTGGTTAAAGCGCAAGCTGTACCCAAAATAAGATGGACGAAGGGCAAAGGAATAGTCACCATTTCCTGTGGTCTGCCTGCAGCTGATCTTTCACCATTGCTGACTTACCATTCCTTGTTCTGCATTGTCTATGTGTGGGGGCGGTCATCTTGGACTTTCTAGGACTTTGTTTCCTCATATCAGAGCCTTCAGCAAGGTGGTCAGTGAGCAGCACAGTAGAAACATCACCAAATCTCACTCCTAATCCCCTGAGACTATGGGGGTTATTTACAAAGCTGTCGAAGGCAGCCGAGTGAATAACCCAGCTGAAGTGAAGTGAGCCGAACAATGTTCAATGTTCAGCCGTACATCGGCTGCACTTCGGTCAACCGAACATGCTCAGCATGTTCGGCTGAGCCGAAGTGCAGAAGGACTTCGACTCAGCCGATCCAACATCTGGATCGGCTGAGCCGAAGCTCCGGCAGCTCACTCGCTTCCTTTCGCTCCTATTCTCATCGGGCCGAACGGCAGTAAGTGAATAGCCGAATGCTGTCGAGGGGCATTCAGCTCGGCAATAAAAAAAAAAAAAAGGTTGAACAAAGATTTTTAAAATGTACATAAATAGTTAAATAAAAAAATAAATACTTTTGAACAAAGAAAAAAAAACAATTGGGCGGAGCTAGCGGAGCAATGCCTTTGGCTTGTCTGAGCTGTCTGGCTGCTGTACGGGCTATTGTGAATAGCCCGTACAGCAGCAATTCGGGGCTCCGGCGGCTGAAGAGAGCCAAAGGATCAGCCGAAGCTAAGGCTGGATCCTTCGGCTCCTTTGTGAATAGCCCCTATGTGTTGGGGCAGCAGTGCCTTTGATCTCACAATGCAGATATACAGCTATGAGACTGCAGTCACAGGTGTGTATGAACACATTCATATACGAGAAAGTGACCCAATATTTTTTAGGAGGAACTCTAGACAAAAGGTAAATTTTTCAGGCTACAGCTTAGGCACAATTAACATTTCTAAATTTTCCCTGCAACACTTTTTTTTAGTTCAGCAATGGCAGCCTCTATATTATTCTCAGTACAGTTTTCCTTTAAAGGAGAACTCTAAGCATGGCATAAATTTACAATACCGAGTGTGCATATTTGCATATTTGTTCTTTGATCTTGGCTGCACCTTTGGATAAACAGATAAGAATCCATGTAAGCCTGGACCGGTAGCAGGAAATGACACCTTCTGAGACAGAGCCATATTTCAGCTCAGAACAACCAACTAGCCCTTACACGCAGTGCAGTTTCATCCGCTGTAAGCTCTCCTCTGTCTACAATGACTGTCTACAGCGATGAGAGCTGATATGTAAGTTCAGGTGTAGGTACAGCAATAGCTCACCGTCAAAGGAAGAAACAGCCACAGATCCTGTTCTTATGCAAGATCATCGGTTGTGTTTATTTTACTGGAGTTCTCCTTTACGGTGATTTATTCCAAACATTTCTAACAGATTGGCTTTCCAGTTTTTTTTTTTTTTATGTAGCCATGCATCATGTCGAATATTTTCACACGCATTTTACTTTTATGGTCTGTTTTGGAAGGGTTTAGCTACACATTTTGCCCAGTACAGGGATGTATTGTAAGCTCTCATGAGCACGGCCCTCCTAACCCTATTGAATTGTATTGTAACTCTACTGTCTCCCTTTATATTGTAAGGCCTCATTCACACAGTGGTGCACAACAGTACAGTGCGCACATCCGTGGGGAAACCTGGTGATGCATGTAGCTGTGAGTAGCCACTTGTACAACTTATTTACAGGACGCGGCTGCACGTAGCTACACTTCAGTCTGCGTCCAAGCGTAACTGTGTAAGTTTGGGTCGGCGTGTAGCCACATGGTGCTGTGCCCTATTATTAAAATACACTTAGCTGCATGCAGCACCTGTGCTACCTGGGCGCAGGTTTCTGTACGGCTGTTCATGTCCGTGTGGATGAGGCCTATAGCGCTGAACACACTTGGTCCTATATAAATCCTGTATTATTATAATAACAACAACAATGGTAATAATAACAGTGGAAATAATAACAGTGGTAATAAAAACAATAACAACAGTAATAGTAATAATAACAGTAAATATAATAACAGTAATAATAATAATGTTATCTCTTGTTTCACCCAGGAAGTTGTTAGGGTTACATTTTAAGATACTGCTTGAATTTTTCATCAGAATTTGTTCTCCAGTTTCCTGTTGTGTACTAAGCCATGCTAACAATTACTGAATGCCTTATGTAGCAATTGTCTTTCTGTTTCATAATTCATTCATCAGGATCTGGGTGGTCTGCATGAAGAACAGGTTCCCAAGTCTTATTCACAGAGTTCTTACTCTGTACCAAATTAGTTATTTCAGTCATGAGCCAAAAGGAAACTGTAATCTGCATCTTATCAAATATGCTTCCTGGAATGTTTGCTTTATGATTGCCCCCCATAGTTTATTTCACCAATTTTATACTTTCACAAGCTACGCCAAATGTTACAGATCCTTTGGCGAGCATTCAGCGGCAACTACTGTGTGTGTTATGTATTTAAAGATGAACTCCAGACAGAGATAAAAGAGACAAAGTATTGCAGCTTTGTGTTTATAAATACAAGCAATGTAAAGCTGCTCATACACTAATCATGTGTCTGAATTCCACCATTCACTAAAATGTCTGATTCCTCCATCCACGCTGAACAGCACCGACAGGGGAATTCCCTCCACCGTGCTATTGTATTCTGACAGTGCCGGATGTTCTGCTGTCAAAATACCCAGCTGATTGGCTGTTCGGCTGAGAATATTCCGACCGGCTCCTTCAACAAAAGAAAAGATCAACTTTTGTTGAATAGAGGAGTACCCATGGGGCCACACACTGCATGAATTTCAAGTACTTACGCTGGCAATACACTGCTTGAATTTCGGCCAAGTTTATAATTTTATCAGTATATTGCCAGTATAAGTTTGTACATTTTTACCGGTTATCAGCCCCTTGTAGTCCCCAATGTATCAAAGCTCAGACTGGCACAGGGAAGAAGCAGCACAAGGAGCCGGCCATTTGTCTTGCACTGCTCATCTGCTAACAAAGAACATGCTAAAGGGAGGCGAGAGCAGAGCGACATGGAGATGACCTCATTAGTCTGCAGCTTCTCCTTCACTGTGTACTGACAGACTGGGGGAGGGGCTAACACCAGTAATTCATACATCTACCCAACTTTGAAAAGACCGTTGATTGCATATAGAGAGTGGATTGTACTGCTTACACTTTCAGGCAGGACTGTGCGCTATTTAATTCATATAGGCCAAGGGTGGGCAAACTCCGGACCTATGTCTGTGGTAAAGCTACAAATCCCATCATGCATCTGTCTCTGGGAGTCGTGACTGTGAGAGTCTTGCAATGCCTCATGGGATTTGTAGTTCCACAACAGCTGGAGGGCTGGCATTTGCTCACCCAGATATAGGCAAATGAAGAAAACAAACAGTGACAACAGCATGCAGAAATGATGCCTGACGCATATCAGTCTTCAGATTTATGGTTTTCTATATGAAACCGTAGAAGACAAATTTCAGTAATCCGTGTTTTTCTCTTTTGCAGTGAAATCTAATTCAGGATCAGTGGAGAACAATAATGCGATATCACCAAGCAAGGTTTGTCTATTTATATATACATATATATTTTATATAGAGTTAGGACACTTACTGATATGGCCGCATTTCTAACAAAGGTCTCTTTTATGACATTGTGGTATATATTCCACTCTGTGCCTGCGTTTTACTGCTTATTTATAAAATATAAGAGCACGGTGTGGAGGTTGTGTGTTCTCTGCATAACACTTTGGGATAGGAGCAGGTCACATGACTTGTCACAGGTTTCCTCTTCCCCTTGGAATGAAGGGTGCTTTAACTGCTTCAACGTGCCATGTTTAGGCCATACCACTGCTTGATAAGTGGGCCGCTTAGTCTGTAGTACATACACATTGGATAACGCTATTTTCTGGGCTTTTGTATCATGGTCACATGTCTCGATAATCCAAGTGAATTAACTGATCCATCTTCATGCATTGTGCCTCATCTCACAAAATGGCAGGTTACTTTAAAGTTAACCTCTCAGAGGAATGAGGGAGCTGCTATGTCTGACCTCTTAAATGTTAGGTGCCTGGCTATTATGCTGACACTTTAGGAGTCAATGACCTGGAAGAAGTATGCAAATCAAAAGAGTCAGATTAAGGCAGAACTCCTTATCTGCATACTTGATTTGGACCAGTGGCTCAAAAGCGTTGAAGTAGAATGGAAGTCTCATTTTTGTTTACATATATGTACTTTGCCCTCGGTGCCGTCCAATAATCTTTCTGTTATGTTTGTGTCCATTAAATATTCCAGCTCACACATGGATGATAATTGATCATTACTGAAATAAAGAAGATTGCAAAATAGGGAAAGGTGGCTTAGAATTGAGAATTTTACCTAAATTCGTAGTTAGCGCTAGTGAGCCTCTACATGAAAAAGTGGCCAAATATGTAATTACTTACCTGCGTCTGTGCCGCTCGCTCGCCGCACGGCCGTTCGGCTTCCGAATGGCCGTGCAGGAGGATGATGTGTGCGGGCACATGCGCAGTCCATTTCACCGGAGAGGAGGAGAGAGAGAATAAAAGTGAATGCACATAGCCGGGAGCGTGCATGCGGACAGACACCGTGGGACAGGAAGAGACAGCAGTCCGCGATGGATCAGAGAGCGTCACCAGCGCTGGAGGGACTGTTGGAAATGACTGGAAGGAAGAAGACGATCGCAGCAAGAGACATAAGGTAAGTCCTTACAGCAGAATTAGAATGGGGAAAGAACCAGAGACTTTAATATCACTTTAAATCAAAAGGATCAGCCTGACAGTCCCACAATTAGCCTTCAGGTTTCTATCTAGCCTATTTGTCTCTGACCTATTTTTCTTTTTGTTTTGGGTAGAGTTGGAAAGAGTTAGAACTCCTGCCATGTTTTTATTGCTGTCTTTGTCTCCTCTGGGTGGATTTTCTCTCACTCCTTGTCCTGGTGACCACAAAGGAAAGGGGAGGAATAGCCCCAACATTGATAGACAGCAATTCTTTGAAACAGTTTTAGCCCTTCCTAACTCTGCTAAAAACAAATGCTACGATTGCATTCTCTATCTCTGCTGGAAGACTATTCTCATGTCCTGTGTCAGTGACAACAAAGAATATTAGGAGAAATCTTCCCATTGGGGGTCACAGACTGCAGTAAACTCCTGGTAGAGGGTTTAACCCTTTCTTCTCTATACTAAATTAAAAATAAACATTTTGGCTATAGTTGCATTAACTTGGGCAGGCTTGACAGGTTCTGGTAATGTTGGGGGTCTTTAGCTGGCTGGGTGGCAGTAGAATAGTGACTGCATCCAATCAGCTTGAGGATTCTAGCAGCTAATACAGTAGCAAGCAGGGGAGATTCATCCACTTGCGCTGTTCAGTGTGGATTTGGGAATCAAGTGATTTCTCTCGCTCAGCCCTCGGAGCTGAACAACAGAAATCTTAAAGTGTATGGCCAGCTTTTGAAACAAAATGAATATTACTTGTCACTTGCAAGGAGTCGGGGCCTTCACTAGCGCTAACTACGAATTTAGGTAAAATTCTCAATTCTAAGCCACCTTTCCCTATTTTGCAATCTTCTTTATTTCAGTAATGATCAATTATCATCCATGTGTGAGCTGGAATATTTAATGGACACAAACATAACAGAAAGATTATTGGACGGCACCGAGGGGAAAATGTGATTTTTTTTTCATAATAAATAGAAAAGTTCACTGATTCACAGACAACAAATGAACACATCTTGCACTGATGTTTTTAAAGTGGAACTGAGCTGAAAAAGTGCTTTGTTATAGGGAACATCTATAGGGAACATTATCCTATATAGCACCCAAACCACAGTTAAAACACTTAAAACCATGCCAAAAAAATGACCACCATTGTATTATGGACCCAAATGAGCCCGCTATATGGGAAATTCACATGCTGGTGTTTACAGGTCATACAGAATCTATATAGTATTTTCAGCAGTTAGCATGAAGACTGATTATCTTAAAAGAAGGCATCTGATTGATTATGGCCACACAGGCAGATTTTTTATTTAGTGAAGTCAACCGGGTTTTTAGATACTTGTGCAGTCTGTGTTGTACCAAACTCTCATATCACAAAGTTCAAAAATGTCACCAGCACTCCCGTGATAAAGATCCATTTAGGACACATATTTGTCATACAATGCCAAATTGCATGACAAATATGTCATTAAATGGATCTTTTTCACGTTTGAATTGGAGTGCTGTTGACATTTTTGAACTTTGGGTTATTTCACGGTGCCATCTGTGGTCATTTCAAGCACCCACCTGAACCTTACAGGTTTTCGTCACTACCCGGTAAGGAGTGCAGCAGGATATATCGATACAAAACTCTCCTATCATTCGCACAGCTAGACGATGTGTGTCCTGAGCACTGTTTGTGGACTATTTGTAGGGTGAATAACCTTGTGTCCTCTCACAGCTTCGTCCAGAGTACATCCCAGAAGAGGACATCCAGCGACAACTGTACATCATCGAGCAGGAGCTGGACACCTTGGAGCAGCGAGGAGTAGAGCTGGAGAAGCAGCTGCGCAGCTGTGATGGAGGTATGACATTGAGCCGCTGTACCTGAAACGGACCTCCGCCTGTCCGTGAATCGGGGAGACGATTGATTAGCAAATGCATGAAGAAAATGCTTGTTTCTTCCATCTACACTAACAGCATGAGGGAATTCCCCCTACCTGCCAGCATCCTCCACCACGGCACACACAGCTGAACAGTGACTGCAGTTGATTGGTTGCAGTCACTGTACAGCCCTCCTTCAGCCCAATTCCTTCGACAAAAGTCGATTTGAAGAATCGACTCTTGTTGAACGGAGTGGTACAGGCAGGGCCATATAAGGTTCAAAATGTCAGCAGAGTTTGGCCAGCTTAAGGAGGTTGGGAAATGGGAACCCCTCCAAGGTAAGCCTGCTCTCAATCTCTGTATATATAGTATATGATTTTATTTTTATATTTATATATGATTTTGGGCCACACTTTGCACAAGAACCTTGGCACAGCATTGTGGTTTCACATTTATTTAAATGTGCAACAAAAGTCTCTGTTATGAATCTAAGATGCTGAAAACCATTTAGGCCCCATTCACACCAAGGCATTTTGTCGCAAGTTGCAAAACACCTGTGGCTCAAAAAGTTCCTGAGCTTCTTTGGGGCATTTTTGTGCGCGTTTGGCCCCATAGACTTTAATAGAAAAACGCGCGACCCATATTTTCATGCCCATTTTTACATGTGTTCTCTCATTGACTGCAATGGTTTTGATCTGCCAGTCAAGACACGCATCTTCATATGTGCGTTAGAAGCACGTAAAAATGTGCAGAAAACACGTGAAAACTAGCGAATATGCTTGGCAAAACCGCGCTCAAAAACGTGCAAAAAGGCTGATGCCTATGTGTGAATGCAGCCTTAATAAGTTTTCTGTGCTGACTCGCAGGATGGAATACTGGGGAATTTTTTGTATTGGCTCATTAAACAAACATTTTGGGAAAAAAGTGTTTTGGACCAACTAGCCGTTTGATTTTAATGGATCTATTATTATTATTTCTTTTTCATGTCAATTTTCGGGGATTTGTGGAAGAATATATACACAATTAGGATTGCTGCTGTTGTAGCTTTTACCTAACCGTTGAGATATTTAAGGTTTAGAGATGAATGTTTCTAGGTGTGTGATTGCTGTAGACTGGTGCTTATTGGAGAAGATATTTGTTTGGACATGTGCAACTGATGGGAATTGCTGATAGCAGACAATTTATAATAGTTTTATAAACGGAAAGAGTTTGTGAACAAGTACTGATTGTCTGATTATCTATATCTATTCATTGGAGCTCAGATTTATATATATAATCTACAATACTAGGAAACATTCATCTTTATTTTTACTCCTTGTTTTCTACTCTACTTTGCCATTTCAGTGAATCAAAAAAAAAAGATTCTAAATCCTTTCTGTGTATATTCCATAAATAATGTATGCTGTAGCATCCTGCAGTGTGTAGAGTACCCACACTACTAGCAATGTAGAGCCGGATATTGGGTGAAGAGTGTTATCTTGCCTTATGCTTATGTATGGGCTGCAGCCTGCAGGTGAGATTGTAGTACAGTACCTCTGCCAGCCAGTAAGGATTGGGCCTTGGTTTCCATTTGCTTTACAAGACAGAGTGCACTGATAAGCTTGTGCTCAGGGAGAGGGTCAGGTTGGGGTGCTCTACCTCTCCAGGCCAGTGCAGGCTTGGTTCCTTCTTAAAATTCACTGCATGCTCTGCAGATTTAGTTAAAGTGACACTAAACTCAGGATTTAAAGCCTAAAAAACATTCAAGTACATTAACTATTAACAAAGATGTATCTTATTTGTGTATCACTCGGCTGTAGATCCTCAAATCATCTCTGAATTGGTGCTGACACTGTCCTTCCTTCTGGAGGGTGGCTACTTTTGTTCCCCATGGTCCCTGTGTGTGTTGTGAAGTAGCCTTTGCAACTGGCCAAGCTCTTAGAAAAGCTGGATACTTGGCAATTTCTGAAGAAGCATAAAAGATGAGGCTATCTTTGGGGTAGCATGATCTTGAATTATGTAGGATGTCTTGACATTTTTAAAGGGGGTATGTGAAAGTAGGAATATAGGAGTCACCATTGCTGCCTTGATTTTAAGGCCCCATTTATATGGGACGATTTGGGATTCCTGCTACTGTGGAAGGAATACCAGGTGTCCTTGTTCAGATGCGGTACAAAAAAAATGACCAGGTGACAGCGGCCGCATCTGTAAGCGGCAGTCCGCATGTAATTGTATGTGATGAGATTACACGCAGTTTGGAATAGATCACAGTCGCTGAATGCAACTATCCTGGGAGAGTGATCTATTGCATACTGCATGTAATTGTATCATATACAATTACATTTAGACAGCCGCTTATAGATGCAGCCGCTGTCACCCGTAACTCAAACGGGTACAGTGGCCGCATCTAAACGGGGACACCTAATATCACTGACCTGGAACAAGTATGCAGGGCAGTGGTTCAGGCTTTTGGGACTTTACTGGCTTGCATGCTTACTCCAGGTCATATACAATTTTGGCTAGATCAACTTTGGTAGCTGCTGTGTTGAATAATGAAACACTTGTCATTTTGATCAATCTCTTTTGCTGTAATCAGATGAATCGGAGGATTCTCTTATGGTTGACTGGTTCAAGCTAATCCATGAAAAACAACTTCTTCTGAGACAGGAATCTGAGCTCAATTACATGTAAGTATCAAGCTCTGTTCTACAATTCAGTATTGCTTTCTTGGGAGTCTGCCGAGTTAAAAGCTTTTGATATCTAAATTGTATGCACAGCTGTTTAAAATAGGTATAACTACTGCTCGTATCATCAAGGAAAATGAATTAAAGTGAAATGATGTAAGCAACAAACTGTTTTTATCGATTGTTTTCCTGGAACCTGCTGCATTATGTCAATATTAGCAGTGAGACTTTCTAAAGCCTAGCTCCCGGGTTTTTTTTTCAGTGTTGGTTGTGCTTGCTGTGTGAAATAAAAGATTAGGATATAATCGGGGGCGTAACTAGAAATCACAGGGCCCCATAGCAAAATTTTGTATGGGGCCCCGTGATTGCCAGTTATGCCGCTTGCAGAGCCCACCTGAGAGTGATCCTGCAGAGCCCACCATAGACTCTCTATAGTGGGCTCTGCAGGGTCTCAGGTGGGCTGCACACCGCTTACCTGTCAGCGCTGTCCGCCTCTGTGGTCGCCGGGCCCCGCCTCCGCCGTCCCCCGCCTCCTCTTCTATGGACGGCCCCGCCTGCTCTGGTCGCTGGCCAGTGATGTAAGAGGAGGCAGGGATGCTCTTAGGCGGGCCCCGCCTCCTTCACTGCGAACGCTTCACTGTGAACGCTGGCCTCTTCTGCACCAGCTGCTGGCTGTCACTGATGCAGTGATCTTCACAGCCGCTGCTGAGCTGTGTCAGTGACAGCCCGCACCCTTTCATGCTATAGCGACCCAGGCAGCCCACACGGCATCAGAGGGATGCCCTGGCAGGGCCCCCCTGTGCCCGAGCCCCATATCGGCCGCCTGGGTCGCTATGAAGATTGTTACGCCACTGGATATAATACTTACCATATCCACGCAGCTGTATCCACTTAACCTGTTTGTAGGATATGCTCTGTGTTGAATGACGCCCACAGTCATTCAACTTCTTCTTGTGAGCCAAGGCTGTCATGGACACACCCCCTGGCCTCAGTGTCTTCCTGCAGCCTGTGCTCACAGTGTTCCAGCATACAACAGTGCTCAGGCGTCACAATGTTTGAGTGGCGTTGTATGCAGCATTGAAGGCCACCCACGGCCCAATGCTGGAGAGAAAAAAGAGTGACAGCTCTCTATAAGAGAGTGCATGGAAGACGCATTTAATTAAGAAATGTATGTTTTAAATGATTAAAATTTAGGTGAAGGGAAGGTGTGGGAAAGGAAAGGGACTGAACTCACTCAGGAATAAAATCTTAAAAATGCATTCAAGTACCCTAACTATTAACAAAAATGTATTTTATTTGTGTATCACTTGGCTGTAGATCCTCATATCATCTCTGAATTGGTGCTGACACTGTCCTTCCTTCTGGAGGGGGGCTACTATTGTTCCCCATGGTCCCTGTGTGTGTTGTAAAGTAGCCACACCTCCAAGCTCAGTAGAATGATGGACTACAAACTCACATTTAGTTTACTCATTTGTATTAAGATTATAGTCTATTTGAAATGTTAGAGTCCACTCTCAGATCTGTTACTCTGCTCAGTGGGCAGGAACAATAGCCAGCCTTTTATTGGCTACTGCAATTTTAAATAACCAGTACCAGGCTGCCTATTAAAACCCCACCCACTGAGCAGAGAAGCGGACCTGAGAGAGAAAGTTCTCTCTCAGGTCGGTCCCTCTGCTTGGTGGGTGGGGTTTCAATAGCCAACCTGCTATTGGCAATTTCAAATTGCAGTAGCCAATAGCAGGCTAGTTATTGAAATTCCACCTACTGAGCAGAGGAGCTGACCTGAGAGAGAAAGTTCTTCTGCTCAGTAGGCGGGCACAGTAGCCAGTCTGTTACTGGCTATTGCAGTTTAAAATAGCCAGTAGCAGGTTGACTATTTCTCCCCATTATTTACATTCTGCTGTCGATCTGCGGAATCTAGATGTAGAGATGTAAACAAATAATTTTGTTGGGTGACTTAATAAATTCAGTTGCTAACAAAAAATGTTAGTGTACTGTACGCCAAGCAACCAACATATTTTAAATGGCCACCGGCAAATAAAAAAGAATCGAGGACATTGCCCTCAAATTTGTTTTTGCCGGTTGCTTGAATGCCGGATATTGGGGAGTTTACTGTATATGGTCATTGATTGGAGGCATAAGTCTCACTGTTAGATTTAAGTATAATATTATTGCATTCTATTGTTGTTTTGCTGAGCAAGCACTTGGAGCCTCATATATTTTCTATATTAGGAATCTAACAGAACAGGCAGAACATTAGAAGATAAAATGCCAAATTGATATTGGAAACCACTGGAAATTCCAGGATCTGTACATTATGTAATGATCACTATACTTGTAGGCATGCACCTCTATAAAGCAGGTCTGCAAAGTGGCCTAAGGCTGTGTGCTGTGCAATGCCAGCCACTTGTGCAAGCCTGGACTAGAAGGATTTCATTACAGAGTGTTGTTTTGTTTAGGGATTGTTTGGTTTATGTAATACTCATGAAATGCCTATCTAGTGTAACAGTGTGTTGGTGCTTCTACAACGGCTCTGGAAATCAGCAGTAGGAAGGGAGTGTATGTTTGTTGGCAGGCATCGGGCTTGGTAAACGAGCACTGATTAAAAGAAAGTAGCTTGGCTGACTCTTAACATTTGCATGAAAATCAACAGACTCCTAATGGTTTCGTCAATGTTTTCCAGATCCAAGCAGCAGCTTCTGGAGGACCAACAGCAGAACGTGGAGACTGAGCTACGTAATCTAATGAGCAAGCCAGGTGAGACTAAAGCAACATGGATCTGGCATGGCCTAAAGCAGGGGTAGCCAAACTCCGGCCCTTCAGCTGTGGTGAAACTATAAATCCCATGATGCATCTCTCTCTGGGAGTCATGTCTGTGGCTGTGAGAATCATGTAATGCCTCATGGTATTTGTAGTCCCACCACAGCTGGAGGGCCGGAGTTTGGCTACCCCTGGCCTAAAGGAACATACATGGGCTTGTGAGTCACAGTAGTGAAGTATAGCGAGGAGGCATGGGTTATGCTAGAAGCCCAGGAGCTCAGCCATGACCTGATATACTGAACAGCCACACAATGGAAAAGAATTAGTGACATGGGTGTGTCTCACAGCAGAAGACTGAAAAGAAAGACAAATTAGGTTCAGAATTCCGGAAAACCGGTCACCAGCACCACACCTGCATCACACAGCGGCGGCTGCATTGTTTAGTTGGCAGTAGTTTAATCCTATGATCTGTAATGCTTTCTGATTTGATTGTCCTACTTTAAATGAGTGTAACTTTTATTGCTTAGATACTGGGTAAGTATGTATAACAGTAGAGTATCAAACAATAGAGTTCTTTGCATTCCCCTTAGCTATAGGTTCTTTTATTTGATGTTATTATGCTGGGAGACAGTATATGTTAGGCAGTGCGCAAGACAGGGGAAGGGGACAACTTCCCAACTGGTAGTTACAGTGTTAGCTTGAAATGTGACCTTAGGGCATTGGGATCCACTTGTGGTACTTTTAGTACTGGTAAAAGTTAGCTGCGGAACGCTTTCCAGGTTTAGAGCCATTGGCATCGCCTCAACGCTTGCCCTGTTTCTCAAGACTCACTCTCTTGAGTATGCCAGTTGTGCTGAGCATCATTATTATACAGGATTTATATAGCGCCAACAGTTTGCGCAGCATTTACAATATAAGGAAGACATTACAATCGCAATACAATTCAAGACAATATGGTAAGGAGGGCCCTGCCTGTTAGGGCATTGGGAGCTACCTCATTATTTGCACTGTTGGGCACATTATGAATTTCCCGCTACCCCCTCATCAGGGCCTCCACTGCAGTCACTGAAGATTTTGTGGCCCAATTCACCCAGTTCCCCACAGATACTGGCCACAGAGGTTCTAAGCATGCTTCTGTGCCTTCACTTGCAGAGTCATTCTTTGATCTTCCCAAAGCCTTAGAACAGTCCCCACGGTCTATTTTTGATGAGTGTTCCATAGTCTACTGTCCTTTATTTAGATTTTTTCAATACAGTATGCATTACCTTGCATTTGGAGGATCTGCTTGCTGTCTCCAGCCTTGGGTCTTTCAGAGCTTTTACAGCTGCAAAAACCTTTCCATTACTCCCGCTTCAAGGTATTCCACTACGCAGGCTGGAAGTATCCTAAAGGGTCCTGGACTCTATCTGAGCGTGTGTTAGAACTGTTCCCTTCAGAGAGGGAATTTGTTAAATGGTGGTCTATAACTATCATGTATCTGCCAGTGACCCACCTTAGGAAAACCATTAGACAAGGAGAGGGCATGCTTACCTTTAAAGATCCTACTGACCGACAAGTACTGCCCTCCACCTTGTGTTGGCTATAAATCTAATCTTTCAAACCATGGCAGAATGGGTTTGATTCCTTTTAAAGGATGTTAAACAAAATAGGATTTTTGTACTCATTGTAAAATCCATTTCTTGGAATCTATTGAGAGATCCAGATCCCACTCCATTGTATTTACGATCATGCTCTTGGTAGTGTTGCTACAAATTGAGGCATGCTGGGTTAAGGAGGGATTATCTTAGGTTGACCTATAGATTTGTTTGCCAGTGTGCAGTCTTCCTGTAGGCAGCAATATAACCCGATAATATATTACTTACCGTGTCTCTTAATGGACTCCAAGAAAGCAATTTTACGTTGAGTACAAAAATCTTCTTATTTTCATCTGCCTCATTTACATTATGATCTGCATCTCATTTATGTGACTAATAATCTTTCTATGGCCAGCATTAGGGTATGCCTGGCCTCCTGTATCCTTTGCTGACTCTTCTGTGTCTTTTTCAGAGCATCAGAAATCTGAAAGGGAAAAAAAGAGGGAAAGTGAACTTCTGAACAAATTAGTGCTCATTGTGAATGATCGCAGCGAGATTGTTGAATGCTTGGATGAAGATCGACTACGGTGAGTTTCCTCAACCTGCATTACAATGCACTCTCCAATTGGTATAGCTGGTAACCCTAAGGGCAAGCGTGTGCTTGGCAGTCATCACAGCCATTATGGTAAAACTATTTTCTGTTCTTTGCCTCCACCAACAGACTGATGTAAGGGTGGAGCAGAGTGTGAAATTAGACCCGGTCTACTACTGAGCTCGGCCAGCTCTACACTTGGTACTGGTGGCGCTGTTTTACAGTAATCTGACATTTAGTGGTAATGTTGTTGGATTCATTGTTATTGAGTCTCATTACACCTTAAAGAAGGTCCTTACTTGTGTGCAGATTAATCAGTATTCAAACTGAAATAAATTGTCAATTTATTGGCTAGCAAAAGTACAACTGATATTGTCAGAGATCATATTTGGTAATCTAAAATATAACTCTCTGCTTACCAGGAAGACTAATATGATATATAACAGGGGTAGGCAACCTCGGCACTCCAACTGTGCTAAAGCTACTAATCCCATCTTGTCTATGGGAGTCATGCTTGTCAGAGTCTTGCAATGCTTTTTGGGACTTGTGGTTTCACAACACCTGGAGCACCGTGGTTGTCTACCCCTGATATATAACATTCACCTCACAATGTTGATAAACCTAGATGAACTTGCGTAGACATATGGTTTTATTTACATTCATTTATTTCCTACGGTAAGAAGCGTGGTACAAAATGCAGTAAATTACAGTGACCAAGTTGAACTTGATGGACATGTGTCTTTTTTCAACCTGACTAACTATGTAACCAGTCACCAATCTTTTGTTGCTCCTCTGGAAGCTCTGCATAGATGACTGTGAATTCTAATTGCTTTTTTTATGGGTTATGGCAGTCCGTCATAGCTCATTGCACTGCTTTACTAGGGAAAAAAACCTATACGGACATCTGAAGCCTGGTAATTAAAAGCTGTAGGCAGGGCTGGATTTTCCAATAGGCATAGTAGATCTCTGCCTATAGGCTTCCTTTTTTTAAGGGGCATCTGAATTTGAAAGCATGACTATATGACTACTGGCTGCCATTAGATGGCCCATGGAAAGTCTGTTTGATGCTCACTGTCATTGTGATCTGCACTGCCCCGCCAAATCAATACCTCTGTGCAGTAGCAGCCACTTCTGGGCAGTCAGGAAAGGCAAGTGAGAAGTGACATAGATGGCTCTCGCTCCACTAGATCAGCATGCCGGACTGTCTGTTATTCCGCACAGTGAGCCTTCTTGTTGGATCATGTGATGGTGGCTGATGTCCTTTGAGTGCATTTGACCATTAAGTCGTATCGCTGCAGCTGAAGCGGATCCCGACAATTATGCCGGTATCCGCCAGCTGCATGACTGACAGCTGGCTCTGCCTATCTAGAGGCAGAGCCAGCTGTACCCGCCCCCTCCCCCATCCGTTCCTCCAGTCAGCGCTAGCGGATCGGAGCGTGGTGGGGAAATCCAGCCCCTCCCCTGTCACGGCAGAGACAGCGGTGACAGGATCGAGAGGTGAGCGAACGCCGGTATGTGTTCACTCACCTCCCGATCTACTGAGCCGACCTGTGACAGTCTCATTGTCACATGTCGGCTAGAACTATGAGGTGAGTGAAAAGCACTCAGCTCATAGTTCTCCTTTAAGGATTAGAACAAAAGGGAAGGAAGACAATTAGATGGGGAATGACAAAGACAAATTCTGGTTATGGTATTTGAACCTATTCAAATCATAAAGTACATTAAATAAGTGAGAACTATAAGATGTATCGCATATTATGATACAATTTAAAAGTAAATGAAAATTCATTGGATCGATAAATTAACACAGTATGAATCTGAGGCCTTAAAGTTCAACCAGCTTGCCCAGATTTTATAGAAAGAGGCATAATCATCCCAATTCGAATACAACAATTCTTCTAGAAGTCTAGTAGAGTCTAATTTTACAAACCAGTTGGATATTGAGGGTATTCGAGTTGTCCTCTGGGTATTAGTGACTTCCAGGTTTTGCTCAGCATCTTCACAGTGATCTGTCCTCCATAGAAAGACTTAGGACTGACATTTGAGGATTTAATGTGTTTCTCTCATTAACATTTGAATACAGAAGCCAGGGTTGTAATACTTTAACCCCTCACAGCCCCTCGTAATGCTACAAAGAAGGAGAAGCAAGTAGGAATTTTAACGCTTAAGAAGTCCTAACCCAAGCAATTTAAACTGCAAGAAGCATTTTAAAATGTTTATTTTTTTAGCTCATGCAATGGGAATGTAAGCATGTAACACAATATCAAATAGGTGTTGTCCAAATTTGACTGTGGAATTAGAAATACACTTTAAAGTGTATTTCCACTTTTGCAGTCAGATTTAGGAAAACCCCTCCATATGTTCGTTATGTGTTCCTATTCACACAGCATACTGAAAAATAAATTTTATGAAAAAGTTTTTCATTCTGCAAGTGAGCTAGTTTCTCTTTCAGTTTATCTATGACCTTCTGAATTGTTATTTACCAGCATAATAAGAAGTGACCAGTAAAACCGGAATGGCAAGTTATCTTGCACATCTCTTGTCATGTCTTGTATCCTATTATAGTACATTTCTGAGGAATGGCTGACTGAATTATTGGGGCCAATTTAGTAAAGCAATAAATCCTTAATTGGCTGAGTGACCCTGTTTAAACTCGTGTGCAGAGGAAGTTAAAAGAGCAGGAATTGGCTTTGCATATGATGGGATGATCAGATTGAATAGAGCGTCACTGAGCGATGTGAAAAATGTACTTCTAAGTAAATCAGCCTCGTTGCATGATATTATCAGTCAGGCTTTTGGTTGATCTGTTTTCATCTGAGAAACAAAAAATGAGCTTGCAGCATTTAGATGAATGTTATATAAACTGTAAATATAAGCTATGTCCCCGTGGCCTCCATATAAAATGATTGGCACCTCTGCACAGCTATATTGTATCATGTGCCCTTTAGCAAATTCTAAGTAGCATCTTTCAGGGCCTGTTCACACGACGCCCGTTTTGTGTGCTGACCGGCTCCGTACGCTGCTGCACTCAAAATGCATCCCAATGTATCCCTATGTGTTTTATGGGCTCCAGTTCTCACGTGCGCAGTCTGTTCAGCTTACGACAGAAAAAATACTGCATGTCACATTTGGTCAGGTCCGGAAACGGTCCAAAAACGCAAACGCGGCAAAAACGCGTCAAAAACGCACTGCAGCTAACATACTAACAGCCCCACTCCAGTAAAAAAAATTATTTTCACTTGAACGCATCAAAAACGCGGCAAAAATGCACTGCATCAGTCTGCAGATCCACACCTGATCAGGACCTGATATCATGTGAACAGGCCCTCAGGGTACTTTGTCAAAGTTCACTCCAGCATATTGAACATATGTATTTATTAGGGATGCACCGATACTGTTTTTTTGATATTGAGTACGAGTACCGATATTATGGTTTTGGTACCCGCTGATACCGAGTACCGATACTTCCGCTGGCATGCAGCTGGCTTCCCGGGTAATCAGGAAGTCGGGCGAGGGTAATGACATGCCGCCGGTTTACTGTTTGCTTGGGAAGCCGGCTCCATGTTGTTGGCCGGTTCGATTGTGATTGGCCGGGAAACCGGCTCCCCAGCCTATTAGTATCGAGCCGGCTTCCCGGCCAATCAGGAAACCGGGCGGCGAGGAATGACCCGTCTACCAACTTCCTGATTGGCCGGGAAGCTGGCTCCATGCTGATTGGCTAGAAAGCTGGCTTTCCAGCCAATCTGCATCTAGCCAGCTGTTCGGCCGGCTCCATGATGATTGGCCTGGAGAGCCAGCTTTGTAGCCAATCAGCAAGGAGCCAGCTGTTCGGCTGGAAACCCAGCTTCTCAGCCACTTAGCATGGAACAGGCTTCCTGGCTAATCGGGAAATTGGGAGGCTGGTCATTACCCGCAGCCCGCCTTCCTGATTGCCAAGAAAGCCGGTTCCATGTTCCTCTACACCACTGCTGGACAGAGGAACCATGTTCATCTACGGCACTGCCGGTCATGAGAAATCTTCCTCTGACCAGAAGTTCCAGGACTGGGGAAGGTATCGGAGTGTTTGGGCAAGTATGAGTACTCGCCCAAATACTCGGTATTGGCACCAATACTGATACTAGTATCGGTATTGGTGCATCCCTAGTATTTTTTTTTTTTTTAACAGAAAAATGTGTATACATACCTTTTCCCCAAGGCCCTTCTTGCTCTTCTCCAGTCATAGCAGCCTTCTCCAGTCATTCATGTAATGACACGAGCAGCGTTCTGCGCTGCAGTTCTATAAGCCCGGAGTAGTGTGATGATGCACCTCCAGGGGTCAGGTTCATGACGACCTGGGCGTAGAGGAAGTGGGTTGAATGAGGAGCTCCATCTAGTGGTGTAAAGGATTTTCTGCAGGGGGCACTACCAGCCTGAAGGTGAGTATTGCCAACATAGCTGATTTTTTCTTTCAACCACTCAATACTTTAATGCTTTATCTTGCACTAGAAGGTAAAATGACTGGATGGTGATTTGCTTGTTTTGTTACAGGGAAAAGGAAGAGGATGAAGTCATGGAGAATATGATCAAAAAACATTCAGGTGAGTGTTTTATACCTGCTAGTCATTAACTAGAAGAGGGCTCTTCTGCCCATGAGGCCACTTAGGGTGACAACCTCAGGAGCTAATTATGGAGGCATAGTAGGGTGTTGCATTGGGGCTGGAGTGTCTTGGAAGACACTCCTTCCTCAGTGTATGTTCAACCCCCAGACTGCACATCCTCATTGACTGTCATGGTGCAGACAGCCCGTAAGTCTGTATTGCCAAGGGAGGGGTGCAAAGATGGCGAACTCAGGCATTGCCCTGATTAAAGGCCTTATGTTAGTGTATAATGTATTTGTTTAAAGTGACACTAAACTCAGGATTTGAATTTTAAAAATACATTCAACTACATTAACTATTAACAGAAATGTATCTGATTTGTGTATCACTCGGCTGTAGATCCTCAAATCATCTCTGAATTGGCGCCTTCTGGAGGGTGGCTACTTTTGTTCCCCTTGATCCCTGTGTGTGTTGTAAAGTAGCCACAACTCCAAGCTCACTCCTGTGATAGACTACAATCTCAATACAAATTAGGAAACTAAACATGAGATTGTAGTCCATCAGCAAGCTTGGAGTAGTGACTATGTTACATCACACACAGGGACCACGAGAACAAAAGTAGTCACCTGTCAGAAGGAAGGACAGCAATTCAGAGATGATTTGAGGATCTACAGCCGAGTGATACACAAATAAGATACATTTTTGTTAATAATGAAGGTTCTTGAATGCATTTTTAAGGTCTAACTCCTGAGTTTAGTGTCCCTTTAAGGCCTCATTCCTTTTTGGAATTTATGTTTACATGCTAGCTTACTGGACCATACTAACACTACAGATGCTCTCTATAAATGCTGGTTACGAGTCTGCTAATAATCAAGCACACTACTTATTTTATTTCATGATCATTTCCTCTAATAATGTTCTATTCACAAACATTAACATTATAATGTCACTCAGCGTCCGCTCACACATATAGCAGTGACCTGCGTTGTACTGCACCGGATCAATGCAGGTTACCGCAAGGACACATGGAACACAATGGTTTTCTATGTGTCCCATTCACACCACAATGCAGTGGGTGGTGCCCTGCATTTTTTTGCAGCGCACTGCGTCTCACCACAGATCGCTGCACAGTAAATCAGACGGTACCATGCAGGGACCTTGAGTGTACACATTGTACAGCAGATAAGAATCTGCTTGCCATTAGAGCCTACTTACTAATATAATGCTGATTGCTTTCCGTGCACAACCCATTCGGTGTAACAGAAAGCAGCTTTCAGTAGGTTAGAGTGGATAGTAGAGATAATTAGAGATTTTTGATAGGTTGTCATTAGTTTTGCTTTATTAAAGATTAGACTAATATACCTCAGGGGCAGTGGCGTAACAATAGCCATAGCAACCCAGGCGGCCGCTATGGGGCCGGGGCACAGGGGGGCCCGGCCAGGACACCCCCCTGATGCCGTGCGGGCCGCCTGGGTCGCTATGAGTTCGAACGCGCCGCTGTTCAGATCACCGTGATCCTCACCTGAGGGTGACCCTGCAGAGCCCTCCATAGAGAGTCTATGGTGGGCTCTGCAGGGTCACCCTCAGGTGAGCTATGTGGGCTCTTCAAGGGGTGTAACTAGAAATCACAGGGCCCCATACAAAATTTTGCTATGGGGCCCTGTGATTTCTAGTTACGCCCCTGCTCAGGGGTGGTATTATTATACTATTGAAATATATTCTCCTCCTATATATTCTTTATCCAGTGCCTCTAGGTTGATATACTGGTGGGGCTTGCTTCATCATGTGTGGCCTAGTGGTAGGAAGGGTCACTATAGTGACCCAGACAAATGGGGTATTTCATTGGTCCTGCAGGTTGGGTATGGGCCTAACATATCCATTCTATCAAAAAGGCAATTATTCCTTAAGGAAATAGATGGATATGGCACACCGGTCCCTCATGGACTCTTGCGTTGTCAAGTAACATTCAAATCTCTTCTTCCCTTCAGATCCTCAGCCGAGGCAAACCACTCCAGAGCCGAACCTGAAGAGAAGATCCCGCTTCAGCTTTTCAGGCTGGCTAAGACCAAAGGATAAAAACAAAACTTAAGAGGGATCATGTTGGACACAATCAGTGATGTGCAATAATACAAGTTATTTTTTTAATGAAAACACTGGATCACAGTTGACACTACGACATACAGTATACTACCCTGAGCTATCTCCTGGAAATGACTGGAGCCTCTAGCTCATTGACCCTTCACTGGACACTTTTAATATGACAACTGTGAACACGCCACGTGGAAGAACATTTGAAATGATGGTGCACTGGACCAAAAGAACCGAAAAAGCCTTAAAGTGAACCTATGCTTTGTCTACGCAGGGCAAAGTAACACACTCAGTTTAATTCTGTCTCCTGCAGCAGTTTATATTTCCCTTCCCTGTAACCCTCTGCCACTCAAGGAGCAAGGAGAAAAAACCCCATGTAGACTCCAACTCCATGCTACCCGTAGCTTACACAGGATGGAGGATTCTTTCCCTCGTCTATGTGACATCGCTTGCTGCCTTAGTGAAGCGGATTGAGTCACATGATCTGCCATACCCAAAGTACCCGAGAGCAAAGGGAAGATATGTGCTGCTGCAGGGTTGGCATTAAACTGAACATGTTTCTTTGGTCTGCATTTTGCCTGATTTGGGAAGTTTGCACCTGGTGCTGTGCTGATGTGCCTTAAAGACTGTACTTCCTGCTGTCAAGTGCCTGATGCTTTTGGTGTATATATGTTTGAATGCAGTGCTGTATCTACCAAACTTTCAGAGAACTCTAAAACGTCTGAGCAAAGTGATCAGGAATTCCTCAGCTACTTCTCTGTGAAGATCGGCATTCATTCTCCTTAAAGTGAATCAATCAAGACAGAAATATGGGAGCAGTGACTGCTGCTTTGATTTTTAGGCTCCAATGCTGTTTTCCGTATCCGTACTTCTCTACTTGGACAACCAATGATGTGCTTTTCAGGTGACTGACACCAGATATGCACATGCTTGATCTAGGTCTGCCAAAGAGTGAAAGCAAGCATATAGATGACATCTCCCAAGCCTGTACCTTCTCCAAATAATCTAGCAGTTACAGCTCCCATATTGTCATTCCTCATTATTTGTGCCTCCTAAATCATTGTACTATGTGTGTGTGAATAGTCACATCCCTGCTGAAGTAGATGAAAGTCCAGGGACCCGGTCACACAGAGGACTCCTACAATTCCTGAGAACTTCTCAGCTCTGTGACACTGATTTCCTGTGTTCCTTTTCCAGGGAGTGAATGCAGTTTTGTGCACTTTTTGAAAGAAGCCATTGTGTATTTCATTTTGTATTTGAAGACAGTTTGTCTTTTGAATAAACCTAGTATTTAATAATGCTGCTTGTGTTTTATACTGATGATATAGCCAGAGCTGGATCATCCAAAAAGGCAACCTAGGCAGGAGCCCCATCATAAATTGTGACTGGTAAAGGTCGGTGACCGCCCGGTCACTGTGCTGGGAGTGCAGCCAGAGTGAGGCCCCGTTCACACTGAGCGATTTATCTCGCGGTAATTCCCGCGATATCGCGGCTATTTACCGTGCGATATCGCTCTCCAATGCTTGGCAATGGGGCAAAGGGTCCTGCTGTCGCGGGTCGTGCGTCGCTACAGCAGGACCCTTTTTGGAGCGGATTTTGCCGCGATTCAATGCTTTTCAATGCAAGCATTTGCACGACATCGTGCGACAAACCGCGCAAAATGCAAATCGCGAGACAAACGTGCGATTTGCGAATCGCGCAGTGTGAATGGGGCCTGAGGGCTCACCCGCTGGGGTGATGTATATATGTGTTAAAGGAATGGGGAGGAGCAAACTGCTACCTTGCCTAGTGCCCCATTCTTCCTCAGTCCATCTATGGTAATAGATGTCATCTATGCAAACTATCTGCATTCGGGGCATATGATCATACGCATGTGTGAGTCTGCGAAAGTACTATCATACAGCTGAATACAGCCATTAAGGTCCATGGACGGCTGTATGTAGCACCTGTGTTCTCCCGGGTAGGGGAAAGACACCCAAAGTTTATGTGTATAGCCCCGATGTGCCCGTGTAAAGCCTAAATGTTGGCTTAAATCTATTTGTTGCAGCAGCAAATCTCCATGACATTTATCTCGACTTTACACACATTCATCTCAGTATAGCCTGTTCAAAGGGGTTGAAGTTTTTCAAATCACATTGAAATAAAATGAAAGCTTTAATCAGTGACTTCAAATGTATATAATACTTTACTGAAAATACAATTTAGCATGTCCCATTATTGTCAACACTTCCAACCAGTCAGTGAATATGTGCTGTTGGCATGTGATTGTCAGCAGGGGCGTAACTAGAAATCACAGGGCCCCATAGCAAAATTTTGAATGGGGCCCTGTGATTTCTAGTTACACCCACTTGATAACCCAAACAGCTCCCCTGAGAGCTACCCTGCAGAGCCCACTATAGACTCTGGTGGGCTCTGCAGGGTCTCAGGTGGGCTGGTCAAACCCTCTTACCTGTCATCCCTGATCCACTGTCCGCCTCTTCCACGGTCGCTGATGGGCCCCGCCTTCTTTGATGCTGGGCCCCGCCTCCTCCTGCACTGCCGACGCTGGGCCCAGCCTCCTTCGCAGCAGCTGCTGGCTGTCACGGACTTGGCAACGGCTGTGAGGAGGAACGCGCTGCTGCACACATCACTGACAGGTTGTCAGTGATCTGAACAGCAGCATGTTCCTCCTCACAGCCCCCAGTGACAGCCAGCAGTCTGAGATGCCATAGCGACCCAGGTGGCCCGGAACGGCATTAGGGGGATATCTTGGCCAGGCCCCCCTGTGCCCTTGGCCCCAAAGCGGCCGCCTGGGTCACTATGGCGATTGTTCCGCCACTGCTCGTCGGTGAATATGTGCTGTTGGCAATGTAGAAGGAACACATTTACTATAAAGTTGTCCCTTTCTGGCACCTCACAAAGTTATACATAGCAGTGGGGGACTGCTCTGTGTCAGACTGCATGTGCATACACAGCCCTAAAAATCAAATCGTCTTGTCTGGCTGCATTACTTTGAGTCACTGACCAGAATAAACACGCAAACTTGAAAGTCAGGACTCCTGATCGGCACATTTGTTCTAGGTTAGTTACACAGAAAGTATTAAACATCAAATAATACAATCTTTGGACTGTCTTGAAAGTCTGAGTTACCCCAGCTCACGAAGAAGGTCAGCATGTCTGTAAATCAGTGACCTGAACAGTTTCCTTGTTATGAGTCACACTTTCACTTCTGTATGATTTGGCATCTGCTGCTTGTTAACATGGCTACTGCATTAAAACCGCACATCATATGCAGCAATGTTTATGACAAGGTGAGGCAGCTTTAGATGTTGTTCGCAATTTCAGGCTGCAACTGCTCATATACCAAAATCCATTTTAGATAGTCAGACTTTTGCACCGGCACATATAGAAGTTGGAGTTCATTTCATAAAGAATATTATAACTGATATTTTTATGTACTTTATATACTGCACATTCACATCAGTCCCTATCCTCAAAGAGCTTACAATCTAAGGTCCCTATCTCATATGCACACATACATGGGGGACATTTTAAATGGAGCCAAATAACCCACCAGCATGTCTTTGGCGTGCGGGAGGAGACCCACACAAGCACATATAAACTCCATGCAGATAGTGTCCTGGCCTGGGATGCAAACTGGTGACCTCAGTCCTACAAGATAGAAGTGCTAACAACTTTTTCTGCCCACAAAGGACAAAAAAAAAGATAGCTGTGCATATAGCGACCACAGAGGTGCTTGCATTCACTCTCTAACCTGCCTTACAGTTAGGGTTGCCACCTTTTCTTCCAGCTAAACACTCTAGCGAAGCACGGGAATTTTTAGGGAGAATGAGTCATGGCTTATTCATATGTAAATAGTGCCACCCATTGATATGTAAATATCACAATCTGAACTATTTTCAGTGGGGGCCAAAGCCTTTATCTTAATTTTGGTTGCCTCTGTCGGCCTGATGTCTTTTTGTCCTTTGTCCATGAAACCCGGACACAGCATTCACAACCCGGACTGTCCGGGTAAATCCCGGACAGGTGGCAATCCTACCTACAGTAATGACAGCTAGGATCAGGTTGCTATTGGCAATGCACAGATTGCGGCATTCAGTCAGTGGCGTAACAATCGCCATAGCGACCCCGTGCTAACAGTTAAGTGATCTTGGACCCTGCAGAGCCCACTATAGAGAGTATATGGTGGGCTCTGCAGGGTCACTCTGCGGTGGGCTCTGCAAGTGGCATAACTAGCAATCACGGGGCCCCATACAAAGTTTTGCTATGGGGCCCTGTGATTTCTAGTTACGCCCCTGCATTCAGTTATATAGTAATGTATCCAGCATGGAATAATTCACATCGCTTCCTGCCTCTGGGAAGCTTATATAAATACAGGCTTTGGCATTGCTGACCTCCTAAAAAATGCTATCTGCTTGTAATCTGCTGACCTGGAACAAGCATGCAGGAAGTGAACTCGGAGCTCTTGATCTAAATTCTTGCTCAGCAACTCTATTAAAGCCACACAAATAGAGAGGAATTGAGCTCTGAAAGCTGTGCCCAAACAGGGCAAGCAGAGGGCAAAGGACTAGTCCCCGGTACATCCTGTGGTCTACCTGCAGCTGATCTTTCTCTGACATGTCATGCCTTGTTCTGCAATTTGTATCTGTGATAGGGGGATGTCATGTTGGTAGAGGCAGGGCTTTTCATCCTCATGTCAGAGCCTCCAGCAAGGAGAACAATGAGCAGAACTGTAGTAACATCACCAAACGAGACTGACTCGGTGGCAGCAGTGCCTCTAAGCTCACATTGTAGATACACAGCTGCAAGCACAGGCATGCCTAGGTAGTACCCTTATATACCAGGAAGTACACTGATATAATTATTGACGAATGCAAGACAAAATGTACATGTTCAGGGTACTGCTTAGGCACATTTAGCAAAATTTAACATGGCAAACCTTCATTTTTTGAGTCCAGGTCCACTTTATAAAGATAGCCAGCTAACTAGCATTTTTAGAAGCATAGGTTAGCAATGGCAGCTTCCATTCTTCTGCAAAT